TACGTAGCTAGTCTTCCCCGGAAGGCAAGCCACGTAATGAAAGAGAATTTAGGTGGAATATAGCTCTTCCAAATAAAGGACATCCAGGGGTGCACCATACTTTTAATTCTGAGTAAATCATACACCTTTGAAGAAGAAATTTTCCCATTTTGGGAAAACTTTTCAAGTTGAACTACGGCCATGTCCAAAGAAGGGAACTTGGAAACAATCAAATCCCGGATATTGGCAATTGTCTTCATAAGCCGTGAGTCCTTGGTGTGTGGCCCAAACGTCCACACATCTCTTCCATGAAGATAAACCCCATGTACCCACTTTACCCGTAAAGTTTCTTTTTTAGCATGAATATTCCAAAGGGTACGAGAAAGTAAAGCACTATTCCAAACCTTTGTATCCCTAATTCCCAATCCCCCCTCATTTTTTGGTAAGCACACGTCACTCCATGCTACCTTAGCACGCTTACTTCCCCACAGAAATAGTCTACATAGGGAGGTAATCCTATCAAGGATGGCCCTCGGCATAGGAAAAATACCTAGCCAAAAGGATTGGACCCCCTGTATGACGGATGAAATCAACTCAACCTTCCCGGCATAGGATAGAGTTTTTGAGTTCCATGCCTCTAGATAAGCTGTAACCTTGTCAATCAATGGAGAAAATTGAGCTACAGATATGTTCAAAGGAGCCAAAGGAATACCCAAATATCTTACCGGAAAGGATCCTTGTTGAAAACCTACCCTTTCAAGAATATAAGGAATTCTACTTTCGACATTTCCACCTAAAAAAATATTAGTTTTATCAAGATTTACCATAAGACCCGAAGCTAATCCAAAGTCGTTCAAGGCATCCACTAATATTTTAATAGATGAATAATGACCTTTAGAAAAAATCATCAAATCATCTGCATAAGCCAAATGTGTTATTTTAAGCTTAGAGCATAAAGGGTGATGCCGGAAATTAGGATTAGATGTCCTATTTTCTATCAACCTTGAAAAATACTCCAAACAAATAACATGGAGAGTGCCATTAATGGAGATGGAGAAAGAAGAGGTTGAGACACACTCCATAATCCAACCAACAAACAGATTTGGAAGCCCAATATCCAACAACACTTTTCCAAGAAAATCCCATGATACCGTATCATAAGCTTTTCTAAGGTCAATCTTAATCATACACCTAGGTGCAACGATTTCTCTTAGTATTGGAGGAAAGCAGATTGTTTCTTTCGAATCAGCTTTAGAAGCGTATCCCTTCAGGTAAACACTTGCATTCCCATTTTGTCTGTCTTTATTCCGCCTGGACTCCCCAATATTACATGCTTGAATCTATGTTTGTAGAGTATTTCATCTTTTTCTATATAGTTGTCTCTGTATCCATCTATACTCACTTAAAAACTAAACTCTGCTTTATCATACTTTCCAAGGTTAGTTTAATTTTGAAAATACAGTTTCTTAACTAAGACATCTAAATTCTCCAGATCAGTGGTGTAAGGTAGTATCAAGTTTATGTGTTTCTGTAGCAGAAGGAACTACTAAGAATAGATAAAAATAATATGCATTATTAAAAAAAACTACTACGTATAATAAAGTCGTCTTTTAAAGAAACAAATGACACATTCCGATGGTCATTACACTTGAAATACTCAAAAAAATAGTTTGTCTTTTGACAACCAATCACACTCGGGCATCGGTAGAGAAAATAACAAACTCGTTTAAGAAGGCAGTGCTTTACAATCAAACTCTTCTAAGTTGTTTGGTTTTCTTTTATTAGAAAGTGGTTTTGGTTACAACATTGCCTCCACCTCTTAAAGTAGTTATTAGTTAATTAAGTGTGAGAGGTTTTTATCTGAATCACAAAAGATATTTTCCCCTTGAAAAGTGATGTGGAAAGCCTGTAAAGTGAGAATTGTTATTATTATTATTAGAAGAAAATACACTATGTTATCTTAAGAATGAAATGGTGACATTTATGTGAAAATGAGGGTAGAACACGACTTATTTGCTGCCTTTTTAATTTATTGCACCTGCCAAGTTTTTGCTGCACTTTTGCTTTGTTTTTACTGCACTTTTTCTTTGTTTTTTTTCTGCATTTTTCCCTGCATTTTTTGTTGTACTTTTCACTGCATATTCCGTATTAATCAATACTTGGATTATGATTAAATGGTCTCCACAAGTTCACATGAAAGTAAACTAAAAACACACAAGCTTTTAGATGGTATGTAGTTTAAGCATGTTTGATAAACTAGAATGAATAGGTACAATGAACAAGAAAAAGTATACAAAAGTTACTCTAAATGAGTAAATGGTATGGGGGAAAACTTAAAAGAGCATAGTGCCTGTAAGTCGTTTCATTTACTTACACATGTGCTCGGGCAACAAACAATGCACTTTGAGGGATTTGTCACCTGGGCTAATCTTCTCCTAGGTTGAACTTCACATAAAAACTTTAAGTGTTTGTTTCTTTATAAAGTGAAGTCTAAATAATGCAAAGTTTCTATGAATGAGTGAATTCTATTTAATTCAAAGTGTCTGTGAATGAGTTTCATGAAAGTGTTAACTGACTTGACTAGAGTATGGGTGTGGTAGGAGTACACCTACACCCGCTTGTCTTCGATAAAGGAAGATCCAAGCAATCTGTAGTTCCATTTAGTGAAATCACTATGTTCACATCACACAAATTAGTAAACAATTCAATAAATCAGTAACTATTTAAACAATCACATTGGAAATACACACATGTTAACATAATATCCTTCCTTGTTGAATCCCTTTAATTCCATTCCCATCTAGGTTATTTCATATTCATAATTCACTCAATATTTCCATTTGGGTTTGTAGAGCTTTTGCATTCACTGTTGAGAATAATCCAACTTAATCATGCATGTGTACATGCATACGTAGCATTGGGCTGTTTTATTTAATATTCATTTAATTATTGTCATTTGAATAAGTCTACTATTCTTACCTATTATTTAGGAGCATTTGCAGCATGATAGTTGAGTTGTTTTGCACGTTAGAGTATGGCTACAAAGTAGGAGTTTGTTAGCTTGTTATGTGGCCAAGAACTCTTGTAATTGGCTATATATATTAAGCCTTTTGTTTCTCATTTTAATAGATGAGCTTTCCGATTACATTTGCCTTCCTCCTTCTTCGTGTATAAACTCTTTCAACATTTGGTATCAGAGCATAGGTTAGATCAGGCAGTTATACACGAAAGAAACAAAAAAATACACCCCAAAATGCAAAGCTCAAGCAATGGAAACTCAGTCAACCAACTGCCTCTGTTCACAGGAGTTAACTATTATTTCTGGAGTTTGAAGATGAAAACACTCTTCAAATCTCAAGAGTTATGGAGTATTGTGGAAGATGGATTTGCAGATGATCAACCGGAGGAGCCTGATCAAAATTTGAGAGACAAAAGAAAGAAGGATGCAAAGGCCTTATATCTCATTCAACAAGCCCTTGCTGATGATGTTTTCCCTCGCATTGCAGCTGCTTCAACCTCAAAGGAAGCCTGGAGTATCCTCAAAAAGGAATACTTAGGAGACAAGAAGGTAATCACAGTGCGGTTACAATCTCTTAGAAGAGAAATGGAGAATGCACGTATGAAAGATAAAGAGAGTGTTCAAGACTATCTTTCAAGGATTGCTGATATTGTACAAAAGATGAAATCCTATGGAGAGGATGTTAAGCCTCAGCAGGTCGTAAGTAAGGTTCTGAGAAGCCTTACACCTAAGTATAGGCAACTAGTGTGTGCCATTGAAGAGGTTCAAGATCTGGAGGTATATACCTTTGAGCAGTTGACCGGGTCCTTGCAAGCCTATGAAGAGAGGGGCGACTTGGACTGTGATAAGGTAGAAGAACAAGCCTTTCAAGTCCGAGGGGAGGCTCCTAGAGATCAACAACAGCACTTCCCAAATAGGGGAAGAGGAAGAGGAAGAGGAGGCTTTAGAGGCAGTCATGGTGGAAGAGGCAGAGGAAGAGGATCCTCTAGCTATGGAGGAAGACAAGCAAGTCCAAAACCGCCCATCAAGTGTTACTATTGTAACAAAAATGGACACAAAGAAGCTGAATGTTGGATAAAGAATCCAGACCTAGCTCCTAGAACTGCTGATCATAGGTCTAATTATGTTGAGCAAGAACAATTGTTTATTGCTCATCATAAATCAGATCATGATGGAGAAATAGTTTGGTACATTGATAGTGGTTGCTCAAATCATATGACAGGATCCAAAAGCATGTTTCAACATATAGATGACACTAAGAGAGGTGTTGTCAAACTGGGAGATGGCAAGCAGCTTGAAGTAGCAGGACTAGGAGTGATCTCAGTTCAAACAGAACAAGGCAGCAAGAAAACCTTATCTAATGTGCAATATGTTCCACACCTAGCACATAATCTGCTAAGTGTTGGGCAATTGGTGTCAGGAGGCTACTCAGTTTCCTTTGCAAATGGAGTATGTACAGTCAAGGATGGTAGCTCCAATGCAGTTCTATTGAAGGCTGAAATGGGAAATAATAAGTTGTTTCCCATGAACCTGACCACCTCTGGTGGAAAAGCTTTGGTAGTCAAAGGAGAAGAAAATGCCAAGCTGTGGCATCTAAGGTATGGTCATCTTAACATGACCAGTCTACAACTACTGAGTGCTAGAGGTTTTGTTAGAGGCCTACCTAGTATTGGCAAGCTGGAACTGTGTGAAGGGTGTATTTATGGGAAGCAATCAAGAGGTTCTTTTCCCGCAGGAGGATCATGGAGAGCTCGTGAATGCCTAGAACTGCTCCATGCTGATCTTTGTGGTCCAATGGGGACTGAATCATTAGGAGGTAGCAGGTACTTTCTAATGATCACTGATGATTTTACTAGAATGTCTTGGGTCTATTTTCAAAAGACAAAGTCTGAAGCCCTTGAAAACTTCAAGAAGTTTAAGGCCCTAGTTGAGAATCAAACTGGAAAGTCAGTTAAAGCACTTAGAACTGATAGAGGTGGTGAGTTCAGTTCTAATGCTTTTACTGAATTCTGTGATGAACATGGAATAAGAAGAGAGTTCACAGCACCCTACACCCCTGAGCAAAATGGGGTGGCTGAAAGGAAGAACAGGACAGTTGTAGAAATGGCTAGAAGTATGCTTAAAGCCAAGAATATGCCAACCAAGTTCTGGGGTGAAGCTGTATCTACAGCTGTATACATTCTGAATGTGTGTCCAACTAAGGCAGTCCTCAATTGTACACCATTTGAAGCATGGAGGAAAAAGACACCCTCAGTAGGTCATATGAAAGTGTTTGGTTGCATAGCTTACACTCTTGTGAACCTGAGAACCAAGCTAGAAGACAAAGCTGAGAAATGCATCTTTGTGGGGTACTCAACTCAGTCCAAGGCCTATAGACTGTATAATCCCCTTACTGAGAAGATCATTATAAGCAGAAATGTCATTTTTGATGAAGATGCAGAGTGGAACTGGGATCAGAATGCTCAACAAGAAGTTCCAACACCCAGAGTTGTAAGCCTAGAAGAACAGTCTTCTCCTCAGCTCACTCCAACTGCATCCAACCACTCTTCTCCTCCAACAACATCATCATCCTCATCTTCTGATGAAAGCTCAGAATCTGACACCTCATCAAGTGATCAGCCTAGAAAAGTAAGGTCACTAATAGATATCTATGAATCTTGTGACTTTGCTTTTATTGTTACTGAACCTGCAGACTATCAAGAAGCTGCTACTTGTGTTGAGTGGACACAAGCAATGAAAGAGGAGATCAATGCTATTGAAAAGAACAAGACCTGGGAGTTGGTGAACCTGCCTAAGGAGAAAAATGTCATTGGTTTGAAGTGGGTGTACAGGACTAAATACAACTCAGATGGGAGTATCTCTAAGCATAAGGCTAGACTAGTAGCCAAAGGTTATGCTCAGCAAGAAGGGGTGGACTATGAAGAAACCTTCTCTCCTGTAGCTAGATTTGAAACTGTGAGGATTGTTCTAGCCCTAGCTGCACAATGGAAGCTGCCTGTATATCAGTTGGATGTCAAATCAGCTTTCCTAAATGGTGACTTGCTTGAAGAAGTGTTTGTTCATCAGCCACCTGGCTTTGTGAAGAAAGGGGAGGAAGAAAAGGTGTACAGGCTCAAGAAGGCACTTTATGGGCTAAAACAGGCCCCTAGAGCATGGTATAGCAAAATTGACACCTTCTTCTGCACGTCAGGATTTCAGAAGAGTGATAATGAGCCCACTTTATATGTCAAGAAAGAAGGTATGGAGTTCCTAGTTGTGTGCCTGTATGTTGATGATATCATCTTTTTCAGTTCTTCCCAAAGCATGCTAACCTCTTTTAAAGATTCCATGACCAATCAGTTTGAGATGACTGATTTGGGTATGCTTCAGTACTTCCTTGGTTTAGAAGTAAAGCAGGGAAAAGAGGGTACTTTTCTATGCCAGAAGAGATATGCTCTTAACCTGCTTAAAAGATTTCACATGGAGGCGTGTGAAACCATAGCTACACCTATGAATGCAAGTGAAAAACTACAGAAGAATGATGGTACTGAGGAGGCAGATGTCACCCTTTATAGAAGCATGGTGGGAGGACTCAATTACTTAACACATTCAAGGCCTGATTTGGCTTACTGTGTTAGTATTGTGTCAAGATATATGCAAAGGCCTACAAAGCAACATCTTGGTGCTGCAAGAAGGATCCTGAGATACGTAGCAGGGACTTTGGAGTTTGGGATTTGGTATTCAAGTGTGAAAGATTTCAAATTAAGGGGATATTCTGACAGTGATTGGGCTGGGTGTGTGGATGATAGAAAGAGCATGTCAGGGTCAGTCTTTGACCTAGGTTCAGGAGCAGTAACATGGAGTTCAAAGAAGCAAGAAACCATTGCTTTATCTTCCTCAGAAGCTGAGTATGTGGCTGCAGGATCTGCAGCAAAACAAGCTCTATGGATAAGCAAGCTACTAACAGATTTGGGATGTATGCAGACTGAAAGTGTTGAGCTATGGTGTGACAACAAATCAGCTATAGCAATGGCGAGAAATCCAGCTTATCATTCTAGAACAAAACACATTGATGTCCAGTATCACTTCATCAGGCAACTAGTGGCAAATGGAAGGATTTCACTTCGGTTCTGTGGAACAGAATGGCAAAATGCAGACTTGTTTACAAAGGCTCTCAACCATGCGAAGCACTATCATTTTGTGAAGAGAATTGGCATGATCAAGCTTGGATCAAGGGGTGGTGTTGAGAATAATCCAACTTAATCATGCATGTGTACATGCATACGTAGCATTGGGCTGTTTTATTTAATATTCATTTAATTATTGTCATTTGAATAAGTCTACTATTCTTACCTATTATTTAGGAGCATTTGCAGCATGATAGTTGAGTTGTTTTGCACGTTAGAGTATGGCTACAAAGTAGGAGTTTGTTAGCTTGTTATGTGGCCAAGAACTCTTGTAATTGGCTATATATATTAAGCCTTTTGTTTCTCATTTTAATAGATGAGCTTTCCGATTACATTTGCCTTCCTCCTTCTTCGTGTATAAACTCTTTCAACATTCACAAGAGATAGCAGAAGACTTCGTTGCTTCCGACATCTGAAGCGACTTCTGTTTTCATGTGTGTAATTTTATTAAATGTCATTTAAGCTACTTGTATATAATTACCTATGTCTTATAGTTTTCTGTAGTTGCATTTTATTAATAAACCATCTGAACTTTTTGCACTTGTAGAAGTAAAATAGTAGGATAAATTTATTTCATTAGTCGTACGACTGACTTATTTGCATCATTTGCAATGGAGCCAAAGATTCATTAATTTTTGGATTGAGAATATGATGGAATAAAGCAAAATGGCTCACTAAACTGTATGTGCTTCTTTGTTATGAAGCAGCAGTCAGTTCATGCAATTTTGGACGCGATTTTCACTATGGGTCATCCAGAAATAGTCTCTCTGTGCTTTAGTAGAGGGGTAAGATTGCGTACATCCGACTCCCCTTATCCACCGTAGGTGGGAGCCTTTGCGGCACTGGGATAAATGAAATGAAAGTCGTACGGCTGACTTAGTTTGAATGTCGCGACCTATATTTAGAAACTGATGGATAGGAGCGGTCCATCGAAATTTTGGGCACGGCCCCAAACAAACAAGCAGAAACGTTGTATCTCCACAAACGCGTTGAATCGAACACATTATAGTCAACAGAGTACAATTAATGAAGGTTGGGCTTATTAGCTTACGACTAATGATGTGCCTATTTATAACACACATATTCCCAACGTACTTTTAATTATAATTGCTTTTAAAATATGTGAGGTTTACTATTAAGTCTAAATTATACGTTATTATTTTGAATGCAATCATTCTCACAGTTAGTAACATCCGATAATGGACATATACCCATTAAAATGTCCATCTTACTAATTCCTTTACACTATTATATTTAATCATCATAGGTTTTCAAAACTGTCTTCATCTTTTACTTTTTCTTTTCAAGTTTGTCTTGGTATTTTCCCAGAAATACTGTAGCTCCTAAACTCCCGTGATAATTATTTTTTTAAATTACTTATATACTATCACACTAATGATATTGATGTTGCCTTAGTTACTTTGTACTTGTTTATGGTATTTTATAATAACACCATTCAACTCAACTACATCCCATAATTTGTGAACTTTAATGCTACTTATGTTAAACATATTATACAAAATTCATTAAAATTAAGAGTTAGGCATAATACATTCCCGCGCAACGCGCGATCAATTTACTAGTGTTATAAATACAAGTCGCAATCTTAATTTAATTACATGGAGTAAAGAAAGACATGAGAGGTCAATTATAACAGACAAGGAAAGTGAAGTGAATATGACCCATGTAAGAATGGCTAAAATGTTCTTGTTTGATTAAGTCAATCATTTGTTTTCTATAGATTATTTCTCATTTTACTTTAAATTTAGGAATTAGATCCCTAAATTATTCACGAATATTAAGTGTTTAATAGTATACATAAGTCAACTATTTACTTTGTTCCAAAATCAAAATGTAGAAATATAGAACGTACTTTGAATTGTGTTAAGGCAATAGTACACTTTCTTGTACAAGACCTAGTTTATTAGCTAGTTTTATTCTTTCAGGTTGTTTTGAAGTTGTTTCTACTTCTATTATCTATTTTTACCACTGGTTTTTAATTTATGAGCGCACTATATATCAGTTTTTTGAAATAAAATATTGGCTTTTATATTAATATCAATAAACATACATGACCACCTTCACACAGTTACAACAGATCCAATCGTAAGTTGTAGAAATAGATATAGAATCAGTCACCTCATACAAAACAATCTGACTCGCTAGACAAGAAACAGACAATTTTAAGCCTAACCTTTACAATGAAATAAATGCTACTATTTCTACTACCAAGGGATAGGTAGATTCGCTGACGTGGAAGGCTGAGAATGGCCAGGTCCCTAACCGCCAAATCTTTAGTATTAAATGCGCCTCCCGCCAATATCTTGGTTTCCCGCCAAGGTCTGTGAACGAACGTCTTCAGGATCCTGGGCCCTTCGCCTTGGTGGTGCAAGGGTTAGATTCTGCATGTCATCTACAAGTCATCTGGCCATGAGCCATTGTCTGTCACCTAGCTCATTGGTGGGCTAAGGATACAGGGGCCGATCGGCTTGTGGGATCAACCGATCGTCCTACTTTGCTTTGATCCATCATGGTCAACTGTCCCTCGCGGGCTGTGTAGGCTGACGACGAGCGTCCTCGGGCCTTCCTCTTGTTAGGCCTTGAGTATCTTGGTTAAGGGGATAATGGGCCGACCCCTGGTTGGGCCGTTTACCCAACAAGTTGTACTCCCTCCGTCCCGCTATGATTGTCTCATTTTACCATTTCGGTCCGTCCCATTAAGATTGTCTCATACTTTATTTGGTAAAGTTTGTGTGGTTCTAAATCATTCCTACTTTATTGTTACTTTATCAATTCAATATCTACCACATAAACCCACTTTTATTAATAACCGTGCCACCTTTTCTTGTCCCAAATTTAGCGGGACGGAGGTAGTAATATATAGGAAAAAATGAATACAATAATCTCAACTATTGCCAGTCCGTCATTAATAACCCAACTATCGATAATTCTTTTAATTAGGTGGTCCCACCTATAGGGACGATTTTCCAAAAGCAGTCCCTAATCGGTTATAATCTGGTATAACAAGTCAATTATAAATGTAAATGTGTAAGTTTTAAACAATCTCAACTATAGTTGATCTTTTTTTATTAATCCCAACTACCAACTCTCAATTTTCGGAAGATATAGAAATATTTTTATAAATTTCCAAACTAAATATTTTTAAAATGTATAAACAACTGCGAAAATTATACAAATACTGAAGTTAAAAAAAATTAGTACTTATTCAATTTCGTTTCACTAAAATTTTATTTTTCCTTTTTCCATTTTGTTTTCCCCAGTTGTGTTAACAATTTGTGATTTTGTATTATTTGACTTTATTGAAGTTGTTTACATTTTCTGTTTTCAAAAAGTAAACAATGACTAAAATTTTATTATTTTTCTATGCTATCTTAATTCTAGAAATCTAAAATTTTCTATTTTATCCATTTTAGTGTCTCTAGTTTCTTTCTATTTTCTTTATCTCATATTATTATATTCTATAAATTATATTATATAGTTTATCATTTAATTTTAGTGATTTGGGGTATAGATTTTTGAGGTTTTGAACTAGTTTTTACGAAAATGTATTAATATTATAATTTTAAGCGATATAATGAAAATTGTAAAAATTGTAGAAAAAGTGTATCACAATGGTACTAATAATCCCAACTCTTTAGGTAGAAAAGTGAACTTTTGGTAAATAATTTTGGTAAACATTTTTCTATCGTCATTTCAAGCTATTCACATTTTTACATTGGTAGAAATTAAAAATACTAAATTGGAATAAATAGAAAATTTATATTTTTAGATTATTCTAGAATAAAGATCTAAACTGTATAAATTTTAATCACAATTTACTTTTTGAAAATAGAAAACGCAAATTTGAATAAAGAAAAATAATAAAAAATCATGAATTGGTAACACAACTGTGAAAAACAAATTGGAAAAAGGAAAAATGAAAGTTTAGTGAAAATAAATAAAAAATGACTAAAAAAGATATTTAATTTTGGTAAATTTTTAGAATTTTCGTAATTACTTTTTCACGTTAGAAAATAATTTGTTTGGAAATTTATAAAAATATTTCTATATCTTTAGAAAATTGCGAGTTGATAATTGAGATTAATAAAAAAAGATCAACTATTGTTGGGATTATATATATAGCTCAACCAGTTAGGGACTATGTTTGGAAAATGGTCTCAATTGTTGGGACCACCCAGGACCTCTGTTCTAAAAATCGTTCTAGGCGCCCGACTAGTCCCCACCTAGGCACTAGGCGGTGGTCGGGCGCCCCGATTTTCGTCTAGGCGCTCCGACTAATTGGTCGGCCGCCTATGGCGCCTAGTTGCCCGCCTAGAGCGCCTAATCGTCCGCCTAGGCCATCTAAATCGCCGAACATTACTTCACTTTTTAATTTTAATTTTCTAAGTGATATACATACTTTAACTTTAGTCATGGATATAAAGAAATGAAGTTGTAAATTAAGATAAAACTATGAACGAATGTGATAAAATATTTATACTTATAACATAATGAAGTTAAGTGATTAGTTATCATATACGGAGTACTACATATGATTAAATGTGATAATTCTATCATTCATGTTTGTTAATGTATATGTAAATATGTATTTCATACACAAAAATACAATATTACTTATCATATTTATGCAAAAATATAGATAAAATACAATTTTTATGTCTCCGACTAGTCCCCGACTAAGCGCCTGGCTAGCCGCCTAGCCGCCTAGGCGCTGGGCGCTGGGCTAGCGCCCGACTAGCGCCTAGCGCCTTTTAGAACATTGCCCAGGACTAATCGATAATTGAGATTATTAACGGCAGACCGACAATAGTTGAGATTATTATTTTCAATTTTTCCTGATATATATACTTTAATTTATTAGCATGTTTTTAAATGGTGTTTAGACTAGAATATATATTACTTCATAGTCGATATTGGAAAAGGCAAGTGACCTTTTTTTAAATGAAAAAATTAAAAATAATAATCTCAACTATTACCGGTCCGTCATTCATAATCTCAATTATCGATTATTCCTGGTGGTGCTAACTATAGGGACCATTTTCCGAAAATGGTCCCTAACATGTTACAACATGGTATAATAGGTCATTTTTAAATGTGAACTATGTGTAAGCTTTAAATAATCTCAACTATAGTTGACATTTTTTTTTATAAATCCCAACTATCAACTCTCAATTTTTTGAAGATGTAAAAATATTTTTATAAATTTCCAAACTAAATTTAGAATTTTAGAATTAAGCTAGAATAAAGATCATAAATTTGAATAAAAGAAAACAATAATAAATTATAAATTGGTAACATAACTAATCACAATTTAATTTTTGAAAATAGAAAATGTAAATTTGAATAAAATAGAAAAATTAAATTTGAATAAAAGAAAATAATAATAAATCATAAATTGGTAACATAACTGTGACAAACAAATTGGAAAAAGGACAAAATGAAATTTTAGTGAAAATAAATAAAAAATGAGTCACTTTTTATTTAATTTTGGTACATTTGTAGAGTATTCGTAATTAATTCTTCATGCTTAAAAATATTTAGTTTGGGAATTTATAAAAATATTTTTACAGCTTCAAAAAATTGAGAGTTAATAGTTGGGTTTAATAAAAAAGATCAACTATAGTTGGGATTATTTAAAGCTTACACATAGTTCATATTTAAAAATGACCTGCTATACCAGGTTGTAACGGGTTAGGGGCCATTTTTGGAAAATGGTTCATATAGTTTGGACTACTCAGGAATAATCGATAGTTGAGATTACTAATAACGGACCTGAAATAGTTGTGATTATTATTTTCTTTTTAAATTCCAAAAGATATGGCTAATATGCATTGACAGTGACGTTCTCTAGTGACCTCAGGGCTGGTCCTGACATTTTATGGGCCCGGGGCAGTACAAGTAGACTAGGCCTCAGGGATAGCACGAGAATGTTTATAATGTTCTTTTTGCTATAAAAATTTATAATTTGAAATTATACAATTTTACCGTCCAAATACTAACAAAGCATCATAAAACAACTAACAAAGCACATGGTTAGACAAATTACATAGAGGGTATTTGATAAGTCACATTCCAGGATACAATGTACCCAAAGCAG